CCCCCGCCCCTGCCCCTGCCCGGCTCAGTTTTTAGTACAATGTTTAGTTGCTGGGAAATGAAACCAAATTAGTGCCTGCAATGAGCTTTGGCTTTTGTTAAAATCTAAATCTGCAACTTTCCCTGGGGCCAGCAGGTTCCCCTCCGGGTCTGCATAGTAGTAGAGTACATCCCCACATGCCTAGTGACCTTGAGACTGTGTCATGGGGCCAACTTTGAAAATATATGCATTGCCTTGAAAAGCTGTTGAATGAATAGCTTACTTAGTAGGTGTCACCGCGTGCCTACTCTGTGCCAAACACTGGGCTGCAGGTGCCAGGAAAGACACACTAATGTGTAAGGCAAGGAAGGTCCTTTCCTTTAAGGCTCCTCGAATCTGCCACTGCCACCAAGTAAATAATTAACTTTGATAAATCAGTTGGCAGAACGTATTTGTTTAAAGTGACATTCTTTAGTGTAATATAGGCCATAGGTCAGTTATTAGAAAGCCAGTTGATTTACAGCCTCAAACAATCGTTTCTTTTTCTCCTTGATTTGATTATTTTTTTCCAGTTTTATTGAGAAATAATTAGCACATGTCACTGTATTAAGTTTAAGGCATAGAGCATGATGGTTGGTTTACATAGAATGTGAAATGATTATTGCAATAGGTTCAGCTAATACCCATCATCTAATATAGATACAATATAAAGAAATCCTCGATTTATTATAATAAGGACCCTCAGTGACTGATTATTGTGGGTACGATCCGAGATTAATTAGTTTTATATGAAGTTCTGCTGTAAACAGTAACTATGGACTTGATTAGGACAATTAGCTGAATCATAAAGTAAGTTTTCTCTCTGTGCATTTGTTGCAGACTCACTTGAAAAGCTCACTAAAACCCAATTCTTTCTTTTCCTTAAAAGGAGAAATTAAAGCCCATGGAATAAAATTTCCTTATTTAAATACTATAGTGTGGGTGGAATTACAAAGTATCAGCCAGCCAATAAAGAAAAAGTTAAAATTCTATTCTTTTTTAAAAAAGATTTTATTTTTCTATTTGAGAGAGAGAGAGAGTGCGCTCTAGCAGGGGGGAGGGGCAGAGGGAGAAGCAGACTCAGATCATGACCTGAGCTGAAGTCAAGACACTTAACTGACTGAACCACCCAGCTGCCCAGAAAAATTCTATTCTTAAAATGAGTATTTATGAGGTATTGGCCAATGATCTTGGTGTCGTTGGGAATCTACATGAGGCAGTGGGAGAGTGGATTTTGGAGGTAATCTGGCTTAGATTTAATTCCAGCTAGTGTGACCTCTGCAAATTAGTAATAACCTTGAACCTCAGATTCCTTATCTGAAAAATGAAGGCGGACAATACTTCACAGTTCATTGTGAGCATTAGGGGAAGTAAAATAAAGGATAAAGGTGCCTAACATACAGCAGTCAGTTGGCAAAAGAGAAATTTTTTCCTCCTTTTTTTGTGGGGATTTCAGGCTGCTCCATATCCATTTGTCTGTCTAAAATTAAATCTCAACATATATTTCAGGATATATCTGAAACAAAAAGGGGCCTCATATTGTGTGTTTCAAATATATCCCTAAAGCTAAACTGTATTATTTTAAGAATCACCATTGTTATTTAGATTGAACTTGAATTTGCACGCTAGGAGGAAGCGTCTGGCTTTCTTTGAAAAAAAAAGTGAGTTATATAGTTACAGGAGTAACTATTTTACTGGTGCTCCTCTTAGTGGTAAGTCTTTAAAACTAACCACACTTATTAAATATTTAGCATAAAGAAGGTATATTTGCATTTTTATTCATGTGCAAATTTTGGGTATAGAACCAGCAGAATATTTTTTTTTGGCTGATCTCGTCAGAGAGTAAGAGAAATATAGCAATTGCTCATTTTATGTTTTTCATATTCTAAATTGAGTAGGTTAAAATTCATATCCATTCATAAAAGAATCATATATACTTAAAAATGTCTTTTCTATGATTGTCATGCCCTCCCTTTAAGGCATAAACTTTTCTTTCAAATTTATTACAAATTTCATATTTTTGGCACTTGATGACTAATGACCCGAGCACACCCGGAATGCCACTGGGATCGGGAAGACAGGCTGACTTGCTTTCACTATTCACACTCCTTTCCAGCTTCTAAGCCCTTCCCTGGCAGTAAGGTAGAGGAGGCAGGGTGGCCTCATGGAGAGAATTTGCAGTTTGGGGTCAGAACCTGGGTATGTGGTTCTGCCACTTTCTGCCCCTGTGATCCTGATTAGGCAAGTTACTGAAACTCTCTGAGTTTTAGCTTCCTCCTTTATAATGCATGAATGCCCCGGCAAAATGAGGATTAAATGTGATTATGTGGCCCAAAGTGCTTTGTACATGGTGAAGTGCTACACAGTTACAGTATACTCCAAATTTTCAAAGTTCTAGAACAGGACGAGCAAACTCTGTAAAGGGCCAGAGTAAATATTTCAGGCTCTGCAGGCCATCCAGTCTCTGCGGCTGCTAACCTCTGCTGATGGAGCGCAAAGCAGCCTTTGACAAGACATAAACAGGTGGGGTGCCTGGATTTGGCCGTAGTTTGTCAACGCTGTGCTAGACTTTTAGACTTCTAAGGAATCTGAGAACCTACCTGATGGGTATTTCTTAGATCTAAGAACTGGAATCGAAGAATTTTGGAGGCAGATATTCCTGGGTTCCTAGATCAGCTTTGCAACGTTTCCTAGTTGTCTTACCTTGGGTACGTCCTCTAAGCCTTCTGTGTTTTGATATTCCCATCTCTAACTGAAGGTAATCATCTGTAGTTTCTGGAGGTGTTGGGAGAATTCGATCACACTTCCAGTCCTTAGTGCAGTGTCTGGCACAGAGGAAGCACCTGGAAGATGTTAGCTGTGATTATCCCTGTCCGTTTTACAGAGGAAGGGGTCCAGACCTGCCTGAGGTTATGGTCGTCGTGGCAGAACCAGTTGGGCTTGTCACAAGTCACAACCCCTTTGAGCCTCTGTCACTTGAACTGCAAAATGAGGGAGTTGGACGAAGTCTTTTTTTGGGACCTTCTCGTTTCCCTTGCCATCATTATGCCAACTGGCACCCCAGGGCTGAGGAACTGAGTCACCTCCCCGTGTGCCTTCCTTACAGTCTGGAAATGACTTGCTACCCAGCAGCAGTAAACTGGCAGAAAACTAGGCAGCAGAGAGGGAGACTGATTTAGCATTAAACATGCATATATATATTTATGGACACACACATATATTAAAGTGTCACATGCCTTAGATATGAGGGAAGGGAGCCCAGTTCTTGGTAATCAGTATGGTGAATAATTGCACTGAATACATTTCAAGTCCTTTTTGGATGTGTCTCAGGGACTTTTATGCCTCACATTCTTATAACAAATCAAGTATGTATGCGTGTTCAGATTGTTTTGATAAAATGATTAAAATGTTGAGATGGAAAACGACTCCTTGTTTAAAATGTACTTCCTCCAGGCACTAACGTGTGCAACCGTGACACGTGGGGTGTTTCTTGGTTGAGGGGTTTTAAGTTCATCAGTCCTCTTGGATTAGTGACTAAAATGTGACAGTTTTGTCTGTTCTGAGTTGTGCCTGGTCTAATTCAGCTCGTCCTTTTATCTTTCTTGCCTGGCTTCTTCACTTTAACCTGGTGACTTGTCTCCAGGGGCGTAAGTAGTGTTTTCCTTTCTCTCATTCCAATTTATTTTACTAAGTGCCCCAACACACTCTATGTACTGTCTTTATCTCCTGTTCAGTAAACTAAATAATGCCATTAAAAAAGTTTTTTTTTAAGATTTTATTTATTTGACAGAGAGAGATACAGCGAGAGAGGGAACACAAGCAGGGGGAGTGGGAGAGGGAGAAGCAGGCTTCCCGCGGAGCAGGGAGCCCGATG